GCCACTTTTGGCCCCAACCAAGCCCCACCCCATTTGAAACCCCACCCCTTCCCCTAGCCCCGCCCTTCCCAGCCACACCCGCTACACCCAACCAAGCCCCACACTCCAGCTGAAACTCCACCCTCTACCAGCCCAAAGCCTGCCCCTTTCCTCCATCCCAGGCACACCCTACCCCACCCAAGCCCCACCCCTCCCAGCCACACACTTGCTCCCAGCAGGCTGAGCCCCGCCCCCAGTCCCCGGGGCCTACCGAGGGGCATGCCGATGCCGTAGCCCTTGGTGTCGAGCAGGCCGCCGACCTGCGTGAGGTTGCAGTTGCGGCGCCGGTGGTACTCATTCATGGTGGACTCGAGCAGGAAGGCATAGCGTGAGCTGAGCACCCGGGCCACCCCCTCCTCCGTGCTCTTCACAAACACGCTTGGCTGCTTGGACTGCATGTAGTTCCACATGCGCTGGTAGGTCTGGTACCGTGAGTTCTGCGGGGACGCGGCATGGCTCAGCCAGGGGCAGGAGGGAGGGGCACCAGGAAGGGGTGGAAGGGGTTGTGGTGCAGGAGTATGGTGGGGCACCAGTAACCAGGGGGAGGAGGGGAGTGAGGGGCACCGATATAGAGAAGAGCGGGCTGCAGGTTGGGAGTGAGGGGCACCAATGGGAGGGGAGGAGCTACGGGTCAGGATTGAGGGGCATCAGCAGGGCTGGGGGGGGGGGAGAGACATCCTGCCCCCTATATCTGATGGATTCCCCCTCCTCGGTTGCCTGGCAACCGCTGTCATGACAACAGGTTGCTGGAGCAACTGGATGGACAGAAGGGCCTGGAATAACCTGGAGGATGGTCCTGCCCCTGCCCCCATTGCCATGGGCAACCCGATCTCCCCAGGCCCAGTGCATTCTGGGAAACAGGGGGTGTCCCTTCTTGCTGCCCTTTCCCTTCCACCAGAAATGGTGATGGCTGGGGGGCCAGAGCATAGAGACTGCTCAGAGGTTGGGTTGTTTCCAGGGAAATGGGATAGCTGTCCCAGTGCATTGTGAGCACTGGGTCCCACAACCCCCGGGGGTTTCAAATGGGAGCCTCAGTTATGAGGGGCAGGGGTCACTGGGTTGGGTGGAGGTGAGTTGGGTTGGGTTGAATTGAGGTGAGTTGGGTTGAGCTGAGATGAGATGGGTTGGGTGGAGGTGGGTTGGGGTGAGTTGGGTTGAGCTGAGGTGGATTGGATTGAGGGAAGTTGAGGTAATTTGGGTTGAATTGAGATGGGCTGACATGGGTTGGGTTGAGAGAGGTCAGTTTGTATTGGGTTGAAGTGGGTCAGGTTGAGGTGAGTTGGCTTGGGTTGGGTTGAGGTGAGTTGGGTGGAGGTAAGTTGAGGTGCACTGGGTTGTGATCAGGTGTGTTGAGGTGAGTTGTTGGTGGAAGCTCACAGGGGAGGAGCGTGCATACTCTCCTCTGTGAGGTCACGCCAGGGACAAGGCCAAGAAGGGGTTGAGTAGCGACCAACACTGAAGGCCTGGGTGGGTCACGGTGCTGGCTAAGCTGGTTGAGTTGGGTGGTACTGGGCTGTACTGGGCCAGGGCTAGGGCCCCACACAGCAGAAGGTCACAGTGCAGCTGGCAAGGGTGATCTATTGGGTTGGACTGGGTCAGACTGGGGTGGGGAGGGGGAGAGGGCTCACCTGGAAAAAGGTCATGGTGGAGTGGGCATGGGTGGTCTATTGGGTTGGGCTTAGATGAGTTCAACTAGTTGGGACTGGTTTGGACTGGGCTAAACTGGGTAGGGGGGGCCTTACCTGGAAAGTCATGGCGGAACTGGCATGGGCAATCTATTGGGTTAAGCTAAGTTGAGTTGGGTTTGGTTGAGTTGGGTTTAGTTGAGTTGAACTGGTTGGGACTGGGCTGGACTGGTTTGGATTTTGCCGGACTGGGGGGCTCACCTGGAAGAAGGTCATGGTGGAACCAGCGTGGATGGTGCCGTACTCGATGTTGGTCTGGTCGGCCAGGTCGTCAGCCGACTCCACAGGCACCTCCATGCGCTGCACCGTGAGGAAGGCGGCCAGGTTGGCCGTGTAGGACGAGATGATGATGAGCGTGAAGGCCCACCTGCGGGACATGCCCGGCGTGCGTCACAGGGGCGAGCCCCAGGTGCCGGGCGCACAGCATGGGGGCGGGGCCAGGCATGTCCAGGGCTGCATCACAAAGTTGGGGCCCAGACACGCGTGTGCCCTCTACCCCAAAGCTGCCTGGGACCCACCTGCACTGAGCCACCACCTTGGAAAGGGTGCCCTTGAGCCACCATCTTGGAAGGGACCCACCCCCTGAGCCACCATCCCGGAAGGGCCCAGCCCTGAGCTTCCATCTTGGAAAAGGGCATTCCCCGCCACCCCCCGAGGCACCATCCTAGAAGGACCAATGCTTCAGCTGCCATCTTGGAAAGCCTGCCCCCCAGCTGCCATCTTGGAACAAACTCTGTCACCCCCTAAGCCATCATCTTGGAGGAACCCCCCCATGCTGCCATCTTGAAAGGGGTTCTTGTCCCCTCCTAAGTGGCCATCTTGGAAAAGGCTTTTCACAACCTACCCCCTCCATCTCCAAACCGCCATCTTGTAAAGCCCGGCCCCCGCACCACCCTCTTGCAGGTGCTCACCAGACCCCGCTGACACATCGCGTGGACAGGGCGCGGGGCATGATCTCTGAGCCCTGCTGCATGAAGCCGCCCACGGGGAACCAGAGGCTGTTGCCCAGCGTGTACTGGTTCTCCAGTACGTGTGGTCGCTCCCGCAGGCAGGGGTGAGGGTTGTACCACTCGTACGGGCTCAGCCTGTGGGAGGCAGGGGTCAGACCCACGATGCCTTGTGCCCTGGATCCCCTGTCCCCCGCTGCCCCCCAGGAGCCCAGTGCCCTTCCCATGATGCCTTGTGTCCAGCCCCCAGATCCTTTCCCCCTGCCCCCACCCACTGGGGGTCTCAGTGGGGGGAGCGGGGGGTCTTACCTGGCGGCGAGGAAGAGGACGCAGCTGACGGCCAGGTAGGCCAGGAGCATGAAGAGCCAGACGGCCGGGGAGAAGGGGTCCAGGAAGGAGAAGTACCCCGGCTTGCGGCCCTGGGGGCAGGGGTCACCGGGGTGGGGTGTGAGCAACCCCCAGGCGTCCTGAGCCCAGCCCAGAGCCCCCAGTCCAGCCTAGACACCCCAAAACCCAGAACCCTGAAATCCAGCCTGGACCCCCCCCAACCCAGAACCCCCAAATCCAGCCTGGACCCCCTAAACCAAAAGCCTGGATCACACAGGTCCAGCACCCCCAAATCCAGCATGGACCCTCCCATACCTAGAACCCCAGATCCAGCCTGGATCCCCCAAACCCAGGACCCCTAAATCCAGCTCCCATGAGACTAGAACCCCCAAATGCAGCTGGGACCAGAAACCTAGAACCCCAGGACTAGCCCCCAGGCTGCACCTAGAGCCCAAACCCCAGCCTAGACCCCAGAGCCCCCACATCCAGCCCAGCCCCCTATCCAAGACCCCAAAATCCAGCCCCGACATACACCCGAACCCCCAAACCAGCCCCCAAGCTCTGTGCACCCCCAGTCCGTCCCCGTACCAGGTGCACGCGGTAGAGGATGCTGATGCCGAGGGTCATGAAGGGCTTGGAGAAGTCGATGACTTTCTCGCGCTCGGCTGTGATGGTGAAGGCCGCCACCGCCAGGTCGGCTTTCTGCGGGGGACGGGGTCAGCGCAGCCCGGGGCTCCACCCCATGTGTCCCCACTGGCTCTGCCCACATCTACCACCCCCTAATAGCTCCACCCACCTCCACCAGTGCCCCCTGCTGGCCCTGGACCCATGTGTCCCCACCGGCTCTGCCCACCCACTAATAAGCTCTGCCCACTCCACGGTGCCCCCTACTGGCCCCACCCACCCCTACCATCCCTTACTAGCTCCCCCCTACTGGTTCCACCCCCTAGTGTCTCTCTACTGGCTCCGCCCACTCCTACCCCCCCTCACTGGCTCCACCCATTCTGAACTCCTTATATGGGCCTGCCCATGCCCCAGAGCCCCCTGGTGGCCCCACCTACTCCTACTAGCTCTGCTCACCCACAGTGCCCCCTACTGGCTCTGCCCACTCCTGCCACCCCCCATGGGCTCTGTGCACCCTGTACTCCTTGTACAGGAATCACACCCAGCGCCCCCTAGTGGCCTCACCCACCCCTACTAGCTCCGCCCACCCCTGCCACCCCCTACTG